ATCCAGCTGCCGACTTGTTTGTGTCACCTGTGACTACTATTTGACTTCATCTTCGGGCTCGGACCGACAAATCTGGGGTCTCTTCTAGAGTTTGACTAGAGCGCAGAGTCCAGACTGTGGTGGTGCGGCGGATTGTTCGACCTGAGACGCTATCAAGTGGTAAAAATTCAATCCAATCGCACGTTGTACGCGGCATCGGCGATTATCAGTAGCCCTGACCGTGTTTCCGTCAAGTCATGGGTGCTCGGCAGATTAGCATTCACATAATACACGACAATCGCACCTATGGGCGGCGTTCATTATTTTAACCTTCCTTCCTTTCGACCTTTCTATCTTCTCCCCCCCCCCCCCCCCCCCCTTCTCTGACATGTCTGCAGACTCTCAGCCGAATGCAAACACCTTACTGGCCATCGCTCCCGCCGGGCTCCGAGAGCGCCGTGCTAGCGCTCACGCACCACCTGGTGGAAGAGCCGTTCTCGAGGTTACTGGAATATCTGCCGTACCAGAAAATGCCGTGCTGGACGTTGAAGACCTCGCTCCCATTGATGAGGATAGCAAGAGTTCGCCTACTATCCCTACACTATCTCGTCTACCTAGCCTATACATCGACAAACAAAGCGCGAGCATATCTGGATACACGCCTGGTACTCTAACTCCTGGATACTCCGCGTCCAACACTCCTGCCGCGACCGCTCGTGAAACATACTTCGAAGATTCCTTTACCGCCAGCGCTCCGATTTTGGAGAACGCTATCGATGCCCCTCGACTTAAACGAAGGCTTGCTATATCCTTTTTTGGTTTCTTCTGTGCTGGATGGTCCGATGGAAGTAAGTGATAAATCGTCCAAAGTTGCCAGTGGCTAAATGGCGCATATAGTCACTGGAACCGTGCTCCCTCGCTTTGAAGAAACCTATCATGTCGATTATCTTACGGTTTCACTTCTCTTCATCGCCTCAACCATTGGGTGAGCCTTACTTACCACAACCTAAATGAGCTTTATTTACTCGTGATACCCGCAGATTTGCCATTGGCACTATTGTTATTGAGCCGTTGTTTAACACACTTGGACGATTCTCCCTTGCTGCTCGCCACCGCCGATTCTTCCCTGCATTCTCTTCGCACGTTTCCAATGTTGAAACAGGCGTATCCTTGTCGCAAGGCCGTTGCGGCGTCTTACTTATTGGTGCCCTCTGCCAGTGTGTATACTTCTCTATTGCCGCTGCAAAGGGGTCGTTCCCTGCCATGGTCGTCGGTTTTGGATTTTCTGGAGTCGGTATTTCGCTGCTGAGTGGTGCGTCTTGTTTTGCTCCCCCTGTGACTATCGCTAGCCCTGACATGAGTTTTATCCAGGTCAATCGAATGCCTACGTTGCTTCACAAAAGTCCGCAGGGCGATTACTGGGTACGTAGCTATTCATACACAGCGACATTAATATTCACGTCTACAGCTTCACATATGCAGGGTGGCTTCATGGGTTCTATGGTATGTAGTCTGCTTCGCTTATTCACTCTTTGATACTAATTACCATGCACTTGCAGGCATTGGCGCATTTGCATCCCCTTTAGTGGGTCAAACACTACTTGCTCGGGGCTGGGAATGGCCCCGCTTTTTCATCATCTCTGTCTGCCTCAGTTGCATCAACAGCGTGGGGACCGCATACACCTTCCACACTACGAAAGAGGAGTTCCAGCAAGAAAAGGCTAAAGCACTAGAGCTGGCTCGTGAAGAACATGATGCATTTGAGCTCGAGAACCGTGCAGCTACTCATGCTCAGGAGCATCCTGAGGAAGCTGTCCCGCGTAGGCGCTCTAGGTCACGTAGTGCCGGAGCGAAGAGTGGTATGTGCCCCTAAGTTTTCACTATCGAATTGACCTGATTGTCATCATTCCCATGTTAAGCAATGCGAATGACGTTGACCCAACCAGTCGTATGGATTTTCGCGATTTTCCTGTGCACTTACACTGGGGTACGTGCTTTGCGTATTGGGGCTGTCTAAACTCAAACTGACGGAATTGTATTCTTCAGAGCGAGACGACGAACGGAGGCTGGAGTAAGATTCTTTGTTATTAATCATAGCTAATATTAATAACATCTACTCTAGTCGTCAGTTTCTTGCTGAAGGAGCGAAACGCCAACCCAAATACAGTTGGTTATGTGGCCAGTGGTGCGTGTCGCGATCCTATCTTGTTCTCGACGGGTATATTTCTAATCCTGGCTTCAACTAGGCTTTTGGGGAGGCCTCGCGCTTGGTCGGATTTGCCTTGGCCAAGCTTCTCCATAGTACGTATTTATACATCAAGACCACACCACCAAGCTAAGACTGTCAATAGTATTGGCATTAAGCGCGAGAAACATCTTGTCCACGTTTATATTGGTACGCACTAAACTATCTACATCTACACAAACTCAGCCACTGACTAGATTTGGCTTTCAGGTATTGCCCTTGTGATGACAGTCCTCGTGTGGAAAGTCCCCTCTTTCGTAGGAAACGCCTTCTGTACGGCAGTCATCGGATTCGTACTTGGGCGTAAGTAGTTCAGCAAAGCAAGTTGATAGGAAACTGATCGCTAAATTGATTGTGTAGCCATCTTCCCTACAAGTCTATCACTAGCTACCAAGGTTCGTCTTTCCACTGAAGTCTGCCTTCAATATACTAACAGTTGCCTTTGTAGCTCCTTCCAACTGAAATTCACATGACGGCCTTTGCGACCATGTCTAGCTTTGCTAGTATTGGCTCAGCGCTTTACCCATTCATCACTGGCGCCCTCGCTAATGCCAAAGGCGTTGCGGTTCTTCAGCCGATGATGCTTGGGATCCTGTCTATCATGGCGGGTTTATGGTGTTTGTTCCCAACGAGGAGCATAGTATGAGGACGTGGGGTTTGGTGAGTAAATGCCCCAAGTAAGCTGGGCTTGGTTGTCTTTAATGATGGAAGATTATATTTTTGGGGATTGGGTCTCTGCTGAACAAATGTATGCTAGTTTTGTCATAAAATCTAAGTGTTATCTGGCGTTATGATTCGCTCAAACTTGAGAAAGCCCCCCTGGCAGAGCAACACGCCAGGATGATACATAAACGAGACATCTAGTGTACACGGTGTAACAAACACAACAATCAACAGGCGCATAATGTGTGGCCATGATATATGGTAAGATATAATACGAGTAACAACAGAAAGGCAAAGCTGGATAGCTAGGTATCATCAGATGAATCTGAAGCGGTATCTACGAGGTCGTCCTGATCTCCATCGGCATCTGTGCGAGAGTGCGATGTACTTGACTGACGTGTTGGTGGTGGGGGAGGCTTCTCTGTTATGGTAGATATATAGGTAAATAGTTATACACAATAGGAAGTAAGCATTTCATACCAATGGTAACTCCGTTTGTCCTTGGTATCGAAGGCCCTCGACCAAGCAGTGGACGTGGCGGTCCTGTCCCACGGACGACCCTTTGAGGTGCTGGTGCACCGGTCGCTGGAGGAATGGTCGCAGGGAGAATTTGAGGTGTATGTGTCGGGGTGGTAGTACTCGATGCGGCAGGGGAGATTGGCGTCTGAGAATTCTGCAGCTTTGATGGTACACGGGAAGCTGTAGGTAGTTTAGCCGGGGGCGGTGATGGAACAGAGGCAGGCTAGAGGTTATTCGAGTCAGTAATGTGGATTAGGTTGCTATTGAACATATGAAGATGTAAGATAAGGTGACTTACCGTTGCGAATTCTTCAAGATTTGCGGCCTGGAAAGTCAATGGTTTGCCGTTCGCGGCTGCATTTCCGCCTTAGTGGACTAGGCTCCAAATACCAACAACCGGACATACCTTTTCCGACCTTCTGCTTTTTCGCCTTGGATGGCTTCGCAGGCGCGGCTCCCTCACGTTTATTGTTCCCATTTGTGGATTCAGGCGTATCAGCCTCTGCATACCGTGTCAATTCACTCGGCGCCAAATATTGAACGATACGGAGTGAAACAGGATGAACGTACTTTTCTTCTTTTTCGACGCCTTTGCTTTCGAAGGCGGTGTGGCGGTTGCTTGGTCCTCAGATGGCGCTCCGTTGGCGCTCCCAGAGCGTTGGAGTGGCGTTGCGGGTCCTGCGTCCGCGCCATTCCTACATGCAAGAGGTTATATGTGTTTACCTCGGTCGGTATGGGAGCTAAACGTACCGCCCTTTGCTTGTAGCGTTCCTCGGACCCGTCCGGCGGGCCGTCCCGAGCCCCATGCAGGTCGCCAGGTGTGAAGCATATCGATTTGGAGTGACCTATTATATTCAAGGTCAGAAAATTGTCTCAGAGCCCGGTTCAGAGAGAAAATGGAGCAGGATAGTAACACTCGCCTGGCGCTTGCACTTTATGCAGTCAAGCAGAACCACTGGTTCTTGCTTATTACCGTTTCCGTTCCCGAGACCATTTCCGTTGGTGGCAGCAGCTCCAGATCCAGGTGTCCCAGTGCTTGTACCTTGGTTGATGTGCTCTTCCCAACATCGCCATAAATGGAATTAGGATCCACAAGGTTTGTGTCTAGGGCTTTTCAAACTGGGCATACCTTCAAGCCGACACCTGAAACTTTATTGTCAAAATGCTCACGCATAAAGATACTAAACATACTCACCTGGTATGGCAGACTGCACATACCGCACGGTTTCTCAATCCCGCCTTGTGCTCATCAAGTGCAATGCCCAGCACAACGTCCTCAAGCATCGTTTCGAATACTGATTGAGCCTTTTGTGCCCTATTTAGATATCTAAATGATTATCAGCTGTGTTTGAATACTCACCAGGTCATCTATCTCCTGAGCGGACATCGCGGCACACCCCGTGCGGTCGTTGGTGGTCAGTCCAAGTGACGCGCAAGTCACGTGGCTCTAATTAATAGGGACGCTTGATCCCATCAACGCCACTCTGGGATCAGTTAGACACGTTTAGAAAACGAGGCCGAATTTTAGCTTACGTTCAGGATGCCTGACTGCATTCCTTCTTGTATGATGACCAGCTCGTCAAACGAGCAAAAATGACCACCGCAGGGCTCGAACCTGCAATCTCCTGATGTACTGTGTCGTAGTCAGACGCGATACCATTTCGCCAGGCGGCCATGTCTATATAATCAGGGGTGGAATTATAAATACATCTACACAGTGCGACTCTAGCAAATTGTAGCACTTTACTTGTAGACTTATCACAAAAGGAAGGAAAGATTTGCGTATATGAACCATTAATGCAAAAAGAATGTGGTAACGAACTAAACAAACACTATATACCTTGACTTCTACATCTCCTTTCACCTCGAGGACCTCGAGAGCGCAAACACCCCGATAATCACAATGCTCAAGAACCCGACGCTAGCAGGAAGGACCATATCCCTCGGCACTACGCCGAATAGTTTCTCCTCCTCGGGTACGTGGGGCAGATGGGCGTGAGGGTGAGCCGGTGTGGACATGGTTTCCCCCACCGCTGACTCAGTCTTCTCCACCAGCCTCGTCTCCTCTCGAGCCGCGCGTGCAGCCTCCGCCGCCTTCTTATCCGCATCCTTCTGGCCCGCGAGATCCCATGCCTTCCCACCATGGATATACAAGATTACTCGGTCCTCTTTAGCCTGACGCACAATCCTCACTGCGTCGGCCACATCCGAGTCCGAGGTCATCTCAACAGTGTCTCCATCAGCGTCCGTATACGACATCGTGAAGTCCAGTGGATCCGGACGCGGCGCGTCGGCTGGCGCGCCTTCCGGTACTTCGAAGAATGGATCGGTGGAAAGCTTGCCGGCGATAATCTCGTGCAAGTGCTCCAGGTTGTCGTGGCGCGCCTGGAAGCGATGAGTACGCCCGCTTGGGGTGCGGCACTTGAATACATAGGTACCGTCGTCAACAGGCTCGGTAGCGGGTACGCCATCGAGAATGGAACCGTGGTGGATGTGCTCTTCAACAACAGACGCAGAATCATTTGGATGAACCTCAGAGTGTGGGGAGGGCCCAACTCCGAGACGGTTGGGATCTGGGAAGCCGGATGAGTTGTAGTCGGTAGGCATGTTTGAACCGGAAACGGCAGATTCGTTGTCATCCCCGTGGCCAAAAGAGTCAAAGAAACGACCCCACATAGGGCCAGCCTCGTTCTCTTGACTGGGTTCAGCGCCGCTAAGAGAGTTGATCTGAACTAGAGGATAAGTCTTGAATCAAACAAACAAGGTAATGGTTACTGACTTGTTCAAGAGTAGCGTAGGTGAGCTTCAGTACATCCACAATAGCCACAAGTCTACCGTCAGTCTCCACGACTGGCAGGTTCAAATACCGACCAGCTATATGTCTGTTAGTAATGACTTACGGACCAGCAATAAGCCACTCACTGTACATCTTTTTCAGCGCATCATGAACCGTCATAGTAGGCTCGGCAACGTCCGGATGAGGGGTCATTACCCGAACTACACTGCATCGCCCAGGATCAAGGCCAGCAGCGATGACACGCAAGACTACATCCTTGCTAGTGAAAATGCCGACGATCTTGGCATGTCCACCATGTTGACCCGGCTCCATAACGCAGACGGCGGTTGTACGGTTCTCTTTCATAAGCTTTGCCGCCTCGCGAACAGTCGTACGCGGGCTGACCATCGCCGGATGAGTGCGAGCATCCATGATAGAGGTAAGGTCCGGCAGCGCAGTCTTCTCGCGCAAAGACGCGACATAGGACATCATCGCCAGCGCTTGGGGGTTATGGTTGATACCATTGCCAAGCTCAGACTGAACACCCTCCAATGCGGCGTGAAGCTTGGCTGAAGCGGAGGAGCCGCGCTCAACCTTATCTAGTGCTTCGTGGAAGACCTTGGTGATATCAAGCAAACCGACGACATTGCCTTCTTCGTTGCATACGGGCTAAAATCATGTAATTAAGCAGAGACCACAACAGGAGAGTCGCGAAACATACCAGATGGCGGAAGCCGCGCTGAACCATGAGCTGCAGCGCCTCTGTTGCGCTAGTAGTATCGCGAGTCACCATTGGCCCCCGAGTCATAATCGCGCTCACGGGAGTGACGCGGGGGTCAAGCCCCTCAGCGGTGACCTACGCAATGACCATCAGCAACAGTGCAAATTTATCGGGAAGCAGGCACGTACACGGAACGCGAGATCCTTGGCAGTAAAAATGCCACTCAAGCCTTCCTCGTCATCGACCACCAGAACACAGTCGGTACGCTTAGCGGCGCAAAGCTGACTCGCATCGGAGACGGTAATCGATTCGGGCACAGTGAGCGCTGCACTGGGCTTCAGAGCCGCGACAGTGCCTTTCGCGCCTCCGGAAGATTTCCCTGGCTTTCGAGAGTGTCGGAGGTTGGTGGAGATTGTGCGCTTGCGAGAGAGCTCGCCCTCAATCCTCTTCCTAATGGCCTGCAAGGGATGAGCGACACTCTAATCTAATGCCGAGGAGCTAAATACCTCATCACGCTTGCTCTGCTTGAGGCGAGTATCAGAGTGGTTGGTGCCCGAGAGATTGCTAGCCATAGAGACTGAGTGATGCGGAGATGATGGTCGTTCAGAGTTTGCGCGGCTAGGCGAGGAGAGATGTGTGCTTGACACAGGAATTCTGCTAGACATTGTTGCCGTCTTGAGCTACCCTTTCTGGGTGGCTCCCCCTGTTTTATTCTATTTGGTCCGAACTCTATCGCGCTTATGATATTCATTCAGACTCTAACTCGGCATCTACCAGCTCGCCATCATCTGCTCCGCCCCCTCGGCCCTCCTGCCTTCTCCATAAACCGGCTAGGAAGTCGGGTCCGCTCGCGTCTGTCAACCCCTTGTCATCGCGTACCCGAATGAACCGCGGGAACCGCAGGCTCAACCCTCGGTCATCAGCGACCATCCCGATCGCGGCCTGCGACACAGGCGAGAGTGTAATACTAAACGGAAACTTGTCAAGATTAGTCCTTTACACGAGAAATGTAGACATACTCTGCTCCCTTGATCTCCCATACCTCACTTGGCTTAAACCACACCTTTGACACAAGTCCTACACATGAAGTTATCAGCACAATGTTTCAAGTTCGGTTAACCATTCACGGCCACCATTTGTATCAATATCCACAAACGGCACCTCGGAGCATGTCCCTTGCTCTTCGTTGTATCGCTCGTTCAGGCCCTGCAGACATATTAGATCCGCACGAGCGCATACACGGCCTGCCTACCTTGTAAAACGCGTCTGAAAAGCCAGTCATACACTTACACACTCCGACAAATTTGTCTATGCGTGGGTCCCAGAGTCCAAGGAGAATTGGCGACCACCACCCTGCTTTACGCCCGATACCGTACCAGCCCCCGATGGGCACCAAGTCTAGCGAGTCGCCCAAACCTTCGACGTAATCTTTCTTGAGTTTCAACCAAGCCGACGTGCGCTTATCTATTTGCGGGACGGGGAAACTCAGCCGTTAATTGTATCGCTCAGTTTGATGTACTTACCTGGCTCGTAGGTTGCAGGAAGCGGTTTCCTCTTCCCTTTCCCCGTGCCCTTTTCTATCTCTTTCTTCACCTCTTTCTCTTTCTTCAACTCTTTCTCCTTCTCTACCCCCATCTCTTTCTTTGTCACTTTCTCTTTTTTCTTGGGTTTCACGCTCGGCTCTTCATCCACCTCGTCCACTTCAAGCACCTGTCCGCTGTCAAGCAGCTTTGCGGCAAACCTGTCAGTCTACGGGTCCTCGAATTCAACCGAGTACATACCTTGATCATTAGCCCTTCGCACCGGCTTTCAATGGCGCGCTCCCAGAATTCCTCCACGACGTCCCTCCCAGACTCACTTTCCACACTTTCCACATGCGCAAGCCTCGCGCAAAAGGGGTCTTCAGATGTCAATGGTGGGAAACTACTGCGAAGCAAGTCTCGACGCTCCCGGAACGATTTGTCTAGCAATGGCTACTCCAAGTTAGCCTAACTTTTTACGTGCCCAAATGAATGACGCTAAAAGGTACATACCTCGCCATTGATGTACATTAGGTCAAATGCATACACGCATACAACTACTTTCACGTCCTCTAAACTGACATCTTTTCGTGGCCGATTGGATAACTCCTGAAAGGTTCGAATGGCCCCTGAATGCGGATCGACTGCTACAACCTCGGCATCGAGTATGAACGAATCCAACGAGGCTGATCGTGTGATGAGTTCCTTGGACATGTGAACAATATCTGGATACTACGACATTCAAACCTTAAAACATGAGTCACATACGGGCTCAGATGAATTATATATACCTTTTGCGTCATGTCCTCAAGGTGTCTGCTAAACAGCCGAACGTTGACCTCCTCGCTCGAATCAACAGCCCGGCTTGCGTGAATTTGTACACGCTGTCCGTCATACTTGAACTCAGCCGAGAACTTTGAATCACCGAGGCGTTCGTAAATCTCATCTAGTGAACGGGTTGGTGAACCAAGTGTCGGATGGAGAGGTGTACCTTAATTTCGCGCCCAAATCGTTTGTCACAAGTCAGCCACGATGCAGAAAGTGAACAAAAACTTACCAACTGTAAGTTGAACCTTGTCTGAGAGTCCCTCAAGGCCATGCTCGAGCACTGCGTCAACAATATGCCCAAAATGCGGATGCTGAACGTAGACTTGTTTAATTAATCCTTCTGCTTCCACCATTCGCTGCACTAAAGCCTCTCGCTCCGCGTCAACATCTTTGACTTTCCCTTTTCCTTTCCTTTTTCCCCCTTTGTCAACGTCTTTGGTTTCATCTTCGTCTGGAGATGCGCTTCTCTTGAGCACAGCGTCACCGCTACTCGTCGGGCTCGTGAGAGCTAAAGCTCTCCCTAGGGCTGCTAAGATCGTGGTCCTTACTGCTCCTACCCTTAGGTTCAAACTCAGCGTCCTGACCAAGTATCTTACTTCTTCTCCACGCGCTGCGACCAGCATCTGCTCGACAATTGACTGCTTGAACTTGGTGGACGATTGACCTTTGAGTTGACTGATCTTGACAAGCTGATCGAAGACCGAGGGGATGAGAAGCGGGGGGACGGGGTGTAATGTCCGCAGAGATGATTTGGCAGAGTAAGCCAAATCACCCGGGTCACCTACAGACCCACAACACCATCGCAAATGAGTTCCGCTACTTTTGAAGAGGAGGGTGACAAGACGCACCGAGTTTATGAGAGAGCGTCCGTAAAGTCGACTTTGGTATCCCGCTCACACTCTCTATGGCTTTTATTATTGCACTCGGCCCAACGCTTAGTTCCACTGCTTCATAACTCGGACCGAGGGAGTTGCTCAGGATGTACAGCGTTGGCAAAAGTGAGCGGCGTGCATCGTACAGAATCAAGAGGCGCAGAGTGTTTATGAGCGTGTTGAGAATAGCAATCCGGGAACGTGTTCCGGAGAGGGCGACAAGTGCATGGACGAGGAATGCGTATGGAGTGGGAGAAGTGGAGTCCCAGGGACAGGGGGAAAGTGAGAAAACGAGGGGATCAACGGTGAGATCTGGAAAGGTTGCTGGATTTGAAGAGTTAACTAGTTTGGTGGAACTGAACGCGAGACCAGCGGGTTTCTTTGTGGTGGCTGTCGGCAGCGAGCTTGTACTAGGCAATGTCGGAACATGAGTAACCACCTCTGGTTCAGGTCCGCTAGAAGCTGGTCGAGCTGTGTTATCGCCATCGTCGGAGTCATCCAAGCTCAAATCGATAACCACATTTTCTAGTTTGACCTTAGCGGCGGCCTTTCCTTGATTGCCTTTGACCTTCAAGGACGAGGCAGAGAAGAATGCTTGGATGCCCTGCTGATTACTCGATCCTGCTTTCGATTTCTTGTGCTTTGTCGGAGAAGCAAGAGCAGAGGCAGACCGTTTCGACATGAGTGCTAGTCGAGGTAGTGGTCTCGCCAGCAACGCAGCAAGCATCCAGAGATAGCAAATTCAGGGCACGACTTTCAAACAAGCTGAAGGGAGAATGACATCAGAGGCTGGGATCGACGATCTAACGTCTAATTGGCGTTTCTCAAACAGGGTCCATGCAGGTGAAATTCAAGTTGAGAGCCAATGACAATGCGATAAACTGCCCAGCTCCAACAAGTTTATGCGCACTTGACGGGCAAACTGGTCAACTTGACTACAGTGTAGTGTGAACCGAGTTAATATCATAGCATCAGAATTTAACTAGTTCAGATTGCATTAAAGGACAATGACAATTGGCGATTGCGGTCATGCATACACCTTGTATACACCACTAGCGATCTAAGCGTCGTTGCTTTCATCTTACACAGAAAACTATACATCAATGCGGCGCGACTTCAGACTTGGCCTTGGGTTCTTCCAGTCTATCTGATCCCAACTACTCATAGGCTGATGTTAGCTTTAAACAGTCAACATCAAGGAAATACGCACCGAGGGTATACATGTGGTAGCTTATCGTAGTGTAGCTCAGGATAGTGTTTAGAGATAGTCTCAATCAGGAGGTCGAATAGAATCTATGTTTACGAGTTGATATGAGCAACACTAAAAGATAGGACGAATAAATGCTTACCTTGTAAGACTTTTCGTTACAATGAAGGCCGTCAGGCAGCAGAGGTGAGAGCCCTTTCTCTGTCTCGCCCGCCTCTTTCCACAGAGCGGTCCACAAGTCAACAGCTGGTAGCCCGCGCTTCTTGCCGATATCTATAACTGCTTCTGCATAGGATTTGGTATTCTCATGAGTCCGATCAGGGCCGATAGGTGGGTTACGCGAAGCCAGTTCGGCATTCCTTTGCGTGGCGATGACGGGAGGCGCAGATACCAAGATAATTCGAGTTGTAGGGGAGTACCAGGGAGAGTCAGGCGAGGTCGGGATGTCGATCAGCTTGTTGATGTTCTCGATGAACTTGGGTAACGGGACCTATAAAAGTTATTGGTTGTGAACTTTGTAGGGTATGGAATAACAGGCATACATGCTGAGGACTTTGTTCAAGGCAAGCATCGTTCGCTCCTGAAAACGATCCCCGAATGAGAACCAGTGTAGGAGTTAAATATATCACTCACCGAACCAGATTACCAGGAGCTTGACTTTGGGTACGGTTGCCTGAACCTCAGTCTTTGCGAAAGACTACAAATAATGCTGGTCAGTTTGTATTTTGGTTTCGTTTGGCACGCCCTACCTCCTCAAAAACAGGGATGGCCCACTCAGAGTTATAGCCAGAAAGTCCACGATTAATGACATCAAGCTTGCGTGCGTATACATAGGCAAGTCGCTGAGCAAATCCGTCTGAATGCAAGGTAATCACTAAACAAAATGTGTACTTTGTTTAACCAAAAAGCTTACTAGGTTCCCAACCCCCTTGAGTCAACGAATCACCAAGAAGCATGATACAGTCCAAAGTATTCGCGGCCATCGCAACGATGGTTGTGGTTGTGGTTGGCGAGGGGAGGATGCTATCAACGATTGCTAAATCAGGACTAAATACTGGTGCGTTCTGGGGGATCTCCACAAATGGAACCTGCCCTACTTCTCATTCCGATGTGGTATGTGTTAACGTCGATTGGATAAAAGAGTTGACCACTGCCGGGCTCGAACCGGCGACCTCATCCGTACTCATGATTCACTCATGTCGAGTGATATATGTGAAGGATGCGTGATAACCAACTACACCAAACGGCCTTAAGACTCTGACATTTGCGAAATCCCTGTCCACTGGGAGCTGGCACAGTCTGCGGTAATGGGTGTACTCCTTGAAAGCTTTGTGTGTCCAGTGTAAAGTCTAGCCATTAGATCTGGCTGCTGAGGTTTTCTATTTTGGGTGTACTGTGCGGTTACATGTCATGTCAGTGGATAAGGCAAGTGCACGTGACCTCTCGCACTCACGAACTCGACGATCACCATGGCCGGAGACCACGGTAAGCAGTAGTTCTGAACCTTCCATTTGTAAGATATAATTAAACCTATGTACTACAGGAGGACTTAAAGTGGGTTCCTGGTTGTATCTGGTTGCTGAGACATGCTTATGGGTATTGTAGATAGATCCCGCTATCGAGCGATGGGGAGCAATGGTAAGTCACACAGATGTTCTCATATACCATTCTAATGCTTGCGATATTAGCGAGACAACCTGTGGCGCGGGTTTCGTATGACCCCTTATGCAGCGCGTAAAGTAACTATTTGGCTTGGTGTCGTGCCGCTGTCTGTGGGACTCATGGCTACTTTCCTTGATGTGAGTACATTTTACCTCCTTCTACCTCTCCTTTCTCAACTGCAGTGTCTGCAGACCAAAATCAATTGGGCTGGTAAACGCAAGGGCGAATCTCTGCTGAGGAAGGCTCCCGCTCCCGCCGAATGAAAGTGTACCCACCCCTTTCTCAAGATTATCATAAACGTTCTAAGCGAAGAAAATATTGATCAATAGCAAAGTCAAAGCAAATACATATACATATACACATTAACGCTGCTTAATAGAGTCCATAAAGTTATCGAGACCAAGACCCGAATATTCGTCCTCCCCAGGCAGATCCTCCAGCCCTTCAAGGACATGTTTCTGTGAAACCGCCCCTCCGGCTGCCTTTTTGTCTTCTCGCTTCTTTTTTGCTGCAGCGTCCTCTTCGTCGGTGGTTCGCTTGAACAGGTCCAGCACTTGATCCGTGTCCATTGAGGCGAGCCCAGAGTTTTGCTGCGTAATGACAGAGTTGGCGATGTTCAGTTTGAACCGTTGCAACCTAGGAGCATTCAGTCAGTTTAGATCGAGTACCCTTGTGATATCAGACATACCCCATAATCTTCTCCTCCAAAGTGCCTTTGGTGATCAGCCGGTACACATTCACCACCTTTTTCTGGCCCAAACGATGCGCACGGTCCATGGCCTGCAAATCTTTCATAGGGTTCCAGTCGTGCTCCACGAAAATCACAGTATCCGCTCCAGTGAGCGTTAGCCCAAGACCACCGACACTCGTAGTCAACAGGAGGCAATCAATGCTCGGGTCCGAGTTGAACGTCTGAACCACACCGTGACGCTGGTTTGCTGGGGTTGACCCATCGAGCCGCATGTATGTGACCGACGGCATGAGCACACGGAAGAGGTCCTCCTCAATGATGTCCAGCATCTGGCGCATCTGGCAGAAGATCAGAACTCGGTGCTGTGACGCAATTGAGTCGGATTCGTCTCCCGCCTTGACAGCATCGCCATCTTCGCTCGGTGTGCTGCCTATACCACAGTCGCTCAAGAGTTGCCTAGGCGATTATTATCAGTATACTGGTGATATAATAGAGGGGAGATACTCACCGCAAAGCAAGTAGCTTCGGAGCATGGCGCACATCCCGTATGCCCTTCGAGCCCTCACTCTTCGTCGAGACCTGAAACTTTTTCACAAGCTCCGCCTCTTCATCTTTGTCCTTGACCACCAGCATAGGGTGGTTGCACAGCTTACGCAGATACTGTAACGACTGGAACACATGCTGCTGGTTCGGATTCGCAGACTTGGACTTGACCGCGTCTTGGGTAGCATCTCCAGCTTGAGACTTGGAGAACGAGTCGTAGAGGTGCTTCTGCATGTCGGAGAGCTCGCAGTAGTGGTCTTGGATGATCTTGGGTGGGAGGTCGTTGAGGACCTGCTCCTTCAACCGACGGAGTAGGAACGGCAGAACTTGTTTGTGCAGTGCCTCCAAAGCCAACGTTGCTACCTCACAAAGTCAGCCTCACTCTAAAATGAGAACCGGCTCAACTCACCAGCTTCACGAGTCTTAGCAGACGCCTTGGCATCCTTGTTCGCCAAAATAGGCTTTCCGAACCTCTCGTTAAACTGTTGCTCCGTCCCCAAGAACCCAGGCATCAGGAAATCGAACAAACTCCAAAGCTCCAGGACGTTATTCTGAATTGGCGTCCCGGACAACAAGAGCCTATGCCGTGCTTTGATCAGCTTCACTGCCTGCGTAATCTTCGTTCGCCCATTCTTGATCTGGTGACCCTCGTCCAAGATGCAGTAGTGCCAATTAAACTGCGCTAGATGGGCGATATCATTTCGCACGGAATCGTATGAGGCGATGACGACGTCTTGTTGTGGGATGTGATCGACCAGGCGCTGGCGCTCTCGACTAGTGCCTACGTAACGTAGTGCCTTGAGGTTATTCGTGTACTTGGTGATCTCGGCGTGCCAGTGACCCGTGAGCGTCGTCGGACAGATAATAAGCGATGGGATATGGACTGAGTCTGGTGATTTGGTTGCCTTAAATCGTTCCGCGCGCTCGTGGTGCTTGCTAGCGAGGATAGAGATAGACTGCAGCGTTTTGCCAAGACCCATATCTACAAAACCTATAATAAGCACACGCGTATGCAAACTCCAAGGCGAAAGCTTACCATCGCACAAGATCCCATGAAGCTGGTATTTGGCCAAAAACGCCAGCCAGTTTACACCATCCTGCTGATACTTCCGCAGCTCGATATTCAGCTTGACCGGAATCTCATACGGCGTGACCTTGTTTCCGTCCAAAAGCTGAGTCAAGAACTCGCGTTCCGTCTCACGCTTCGCTAAGAGTTCGTCGGAGAAGCCGGGTGGGTCAGGCAAACCAGCCTACACAGGCGTTAAACATGGTAACAAGTAAAGGGCAAAGACGAGCTCACCTCGAGGGGCACCATCCTCACAAGCGATGCGAATGTATTCGTCGCCACGTACCGACAGTCATTGTCGCTGTCGCTCATGCGTCCAAGCACAGGCACAATGAGGAAGATCACATACGGCAGGACTTTCAGATCCAACTTCTGCACAATATCTACAACCCCCACATGAGTCTCTTTCTGCATCCATTGAAAGGATAGTACTCACGATAAATAAGCTCCATGGCACCCTGCCTGTTCTCCAACACAGTCGTATCCCCCAAGAACGGCAATACATGCTCAACAACGAACCGCATACCATCCGTCGTGATAGTGCTGCACAGCGTCGCAAACGAGCGACTCGCGGCCTGTCGGATCAAGGCATACTTGCTTCGCAAAGCTTTGGCGATTGCCGGGAAGAGTTCAACCACGCGTGCGTGTAGCATTGGGTCTAAGCTCGGGACGACGACATGCAGGACGGTTAGGCTGTCAATGACTTGTTGTCCGACCTCGGTGGCCTTTTCGATCTTCTCGTCTCCGTCTGAGCCTACACCACAGCACCGTTAGTCCACCACAGCCAACGCATGGGGCGCAGGAGACTCACCTCCAAATGCATCCTCCAACCCCCCGACCATCGAGTCCCACATCTGCTTCAGTCGCGTAAACAGTTCCGCCCCAAACAGTTCCCCAAGCCTCATCAACGCCAACTGTGCTCCTCGCTTAACAATCCTCGCCTTGACAGCTTCGGGCGTTTCCTCCCCTCCTGCCTCGTCTTTATCCTTACGCGCAGAGCCAGAGGGTTTGGCGGCCATGAGTTTGCACGTAAGAACTCCTGCGTGGACTTTTCGAGATTGCGCAAAGACGGGGGTAACGTCTGTGTCTTGGCAGACGAACGCGCAGAGGTTCTTGACAATCTTTTCGGCGGGCATGACGACGAGTCCTGAAGAGGGTGTCGTGCAGTCCGAAACAAAAGTGGCCACAGCGTTCGCAGACCTCGTCTGAATATCCAAGTTTTCCTCAAACTACACCCCGAAATAATCAGTCTGATGCCCAAAGAGACGAAAAGGAGAAGAACGCACCTTGACACCGTTCATAATACTCCTCACAAGCGGATTCAACTTGCTCGGGTACACCCTCAGCGCGATCAGAGCAGCAGCAACTCCCGCACAAACCCTCACATCCAACTGGCCCTTTACAACCCCATACCTTTCCACCACACCCACAATCCGCACTCGCTTCTCCTCCAAACCCGGTATCTCCTTCTTCTTCCCCCTCGGCACACCCGTCTTCATGGTGTCAAACATCTCACCCACAAACTTGCGCGCAAACGCAACCGTAAACGCATCGGACTGTTTGCCTTCTGGGTCGATCGTGTCGGGCAAGGTAGGGATTTTGGTAGCGGGGAGTTTCGCGTCTTCGGAGAAGGATTGGACGAGGGCTTTGCAATCAAGCGCGAGGGAACGGAGGTGGGCGCCCATTTCGTGATAAGACTCTGGGCAATCGTTTTCGAGGAAGGTAAGGAGGTGAGTGGAGCATTGGGCGGCGAGGGGAGATGACTTTGTCAATGAGGCTGGACCTGGGGATTGGACTTGTACGGCTATAGCCCATTCCTGTACGATTGTCGATGCGATGAAACGCTGGTACGCGCTTGTCGACTGGATGAAATGTAACAACAAGTCCCCAAATGAGTGACTTTGCAACTAAACCACCCAACACCGATTCAGTTCCCGTTCACCTATTCCAAAGGCACCAAGAGTAAACTCACCTCAGCAGGCCAAGCGGCGATCAACACCCCCACAGCCCGCGCAGCCGCCAACCGTCCCCTATACACAACATCCAACCCCAAAAGACTCAAATCCTGCTGCATAGCACTCCGATCGACATTATGCGCTTCCTCGCCTCTCCTCGTCGGGTAGAAAAAGTACGCAGGGTTGAGCGCTTCACCAATAGGCGTGGCGAGCATGCACAGCCAGTTGTACACCACTTCGTGCAAGAGCGGTGCCAGACCCGTCGGTTCCGCGTTGGGCGATTGAGGTTGGGATTCGGGCGACGCGAGATGGGAAGCTTGGGCGATGGCAAC